ACCTTCACAACCATGAAGATAAGTTGCTGCTATCCAAAGTTGTGTTTGGCCCTTGCTAGAATACCGTTTGTAGTTTTTGAGCACCATCCGTGTAGACGACAAACTCAAGATCCATAGTATCCTGGGGTGAAATACGTCTGGGTGGCTGAGAAACGAGTGTAATAAGGATTAAAAATCCAGGTGTGCGCCCCTCAGCCTACAACCCCTTTAGATGATAGGCCTAAGATGAGCCGTGTTTTCTTCGAGATCCTGCCTAAGACATCCAATTCAATCGGTGAGGAAATCCTCCTCACACCAAAAGATTGCTACAGTCTGCGCAGTCATAGCTTCAGTGTTGAAATGTAAGCCTTTGAAACACCTGTCCGCCCCGACACATTCTCCGTTAAATACTCTAGAATATGAAACCATCTTCCTGTCGATACCAGAGCTTACGGCTCAACTACTCAGTTAGGTCGTTCACCGAAAAGATTCTTATCCTCTGGAAAGTCTCCTAACCTGTTGAGCTAAGCGCAACTATGTCCCATAACGCCCAGTATTATAGGTCTCTTTACGGTGTAAGATCTCATGATATACCCCGTAAATGCATGCACTCCTCCTGTAGCATCCTGTTGATAGGGGTGTCACGATGGGGACTGCTTAGATGGCCGAATGGTGCATTTATACCTTCACCTATTACTATCCTAGTGCGAGCAGCTAATGGCATGACCCCCATACCCATTTACGTGGTTCTAGCGCGTCTGTCCACAGTGCTGTGCGAGGCCACTCTTTTTTACAGACAGACACCGAAGTGGCTATCGTGCTGCGCACATCAGCATAGAAGACTACTCCAGGTCCAAACAAACCCTAGACGTGTCAGCACCTTTTTCTGGCCAGTCATACCCTTAACGGTCCAAACAGAGTCAGACGGCGACCGGGCGTGCTGCCGACCACATCAGTCCCTAGCCGTGAAAATACCTAAATGGCTACCCCACTGTTTATCGGGAAAAGCCAGTCCCAGTTGAAAGGAAGGCGCACCCTTCCCATAAAAACCCTCCCGCAATACACAACAACGGAGACGCCGATGACGGATGGAATTTCATCACCTTATTAACCGTCCCTGTGTTCCGTGACAGTCTTCTTGAGAACAGAGTCTTTCGACAAACAGCAGTGGGAGACGATATGCACCATACTAGGACTGGGGAGCCTGGAAGAAAAGCTGCACCGGCTCTGAATAGGCAACTACTCGCCTCAAGAGGAGCCCCATCCGACGAGAGTGACCCTGAGCTCGATCACGGAGGCAGAAGGATTTTCTTTGGTGTCACACACACCAGTCATCAACCGGTTATCCTGCACTGTCAACAGACAAGATGTTCAAACCAGCCTAGACTCCATAAAAACCTCAGTAAGCACTATAGGAAGAAACGTGATTGGGCTGGCTGCACAGGTGCTAGCTGCCTTGCAACAAATTTCACCATTGCGCACGACCCCACAAAGTCTGCCGCCGACGAGACACATCATGCTGTTGGAAACACCTTCAAGCGTCTTTACAGCAGTGAGAGGAGGCATAGAAGCAAGGTGAAGGAACAATGATCTCTCTATTTCCACCTTGCTCCGAAGACCACAATCGTGACGGAAGCTTGGTTGTCACCGTATATTAGTGGCATCGAAAGTAGTGTAGACGCTACCCGTCTACTGAGGAGGGGGGCGGAATCACAGTTTTTATAAGTAACCATTTTAGGAGTGAAAGAGTCCCCGAAACGCTATCTTCAGGGCTCCAGGGCTCCATCTAGTGCCACTTCAGGGTTGGACGCACCAAGTTCCCGGTGGGGGGTCCACAGAACCCCAACCAACAACCTGGAACATAACCAGCAGCTGCTACAAGTAATGTTTGGAGTGAAGTCTGCGGGATATGACCAGGTCATTATAGTTGGGGGGGGGGGTTCAATGCTCCAACCCACAGCCCTTGGCAGAACAGGGGGCCTGAAGCCGGAGATCCGACTGAAATTCACTAGCACTACTAAAAAGGCTGGGCTGCAAGAGAATATTGGTGATGACACTCTCTGGGGGTCGAGAATTAAAAGCCATCTAAACTGGGCTAACTTTTTACCAGCCACCAACTGCTGGCTGAAAAAGTCCAGGCTCGAACCCCCTTGGCAGCAGCGACCACGGTGTAGTAGTGTTCTACCTGGCATTCGATGAACAACTCTCACGAAGGGGAGTCTCACACTTGTCTCTTCTACAGCAAGGCGAACTAAGTGGCGACGAACCAGTGCCTGTTGATTGCACCATGGCGTCAGGAGTGGAGTAACCTTTTAATTAATCGGCAATATTAACTAGTTACAGGTATAATGAAGAGGGCTGTCTCTGAAAGCGTCCCAGAAATCACAACAACGCAAAGAAATCGGTCCTCGTGGCCGAAACGGGGCACTGAACGCTCGTCGAAACCCACGAGGAAAGCATGGCATAGGTAAAGAATCTCTAGAAAGGAGTCCGATCATACCGCGTGTGTGGCTATAAGAAGTCGACACAGCTTCAGAGTGACGGGGACGAGAGGTCATTTCAGACGAACCTTACCCCGAAGCTTGAGGTGAACACCAAGATACTTTACCGATTCATAGCAGGCAGAAAATCCACCAGCTAGGGGCTTGCGTTCTGAAAAGCCCAAACGGAGAGAACCCTCCTGGACTGGAGATCCCAGAAGCTTTTAAAGCCGCCACAGACACACCGCTGAAAACTTTATCACCTAGCCTAAGTTGCCAAATACCCCACCTGCAGTCAGCACTACTGAATGCAGTATACTTTCCTGGAAAAAAGGTAACTCCTGCTATGGTCCACAAGGAGCTGTCAAAGCTCCGCGTACAGAAACCACCAGGATGTGATATTGAAACACTGGGTGGGCGCCTAATGCGGTCCTCTCCGTAACGTTTCAGCACTCCTCAAACAATCATCTGCTTCTATGAGGGTGGAAGCGTCTCCCATCCTCAAAAGAGGAGACAGGTAGAACCCGAAATGATATCGACTCATGACACTTCTACCAGTAATGGAGAGCCTGGATGACGACCGTGTCAGGGAGTATTTGGAAAAGGGGAGAGGGCCAATTATTGCTCATTATGGTTTCAGAAAGGGTAGGTTCTGCGCCCCAAACATTCCTGTGGTCGGTGATAAGTGGACGCATGTTGGGACCTGCATGTTCCTGTTCATGTTATTTTCCTTGGTTCTGCTAGCGTCTTTGACATAGTCACGCACACCACTCTCATTCGTAAAACATAAAGGTTGGGTTTCAAGGGTCGAGCGCTCCCCAGGCCACAGGACCGTTTGGGTGACAGACAGTCCTGCACAAAAGGCGACAGCGTTTGCTTGGCTTAGAGGACAAAATCATCTGGTGTATCACAGTGAGCGATTCTGGGTCCACTGCTACTCCCTCTTTTTGCAATCTACCTTCCATTAAATCTCAGCTCCTCTATTCTGCTTGACGCTGATGATGTTAAGTTATGGAGGTCTGTGACATATGAAGCAGAATCAAGTGCACTATGGATGGATAATAACAGACTAGTATTTGATCAGGACAAGTGCCGAACCATGTTTACCCTCGTTCCTGACTCAGAAAGCACCGTCTTCTCTCCGTGGAACACAACGTTCCCAAATCACCACAGAGAGAGACCTAGGACATACCCACCGACGAGCTAGATACCAGCTCTAACTATCCGGGAGATGCCTCCGGAGCCTAGCCAGTACTGCACTTCACGTGCAGACAACTAGGCACCCTCACCCTGGAACTCTTCCAGAAACTTTATATGACCTACATACGGCCTCACTCAGAGGTCCACAACATCACTGCACAAACACACTCGAAAAGGGCTGTGAACCTCCAGAAGAAAGTGCGAAGGCGAGCAACAATGGGTGCCGTGGGAATGAGGCACAAACCCTATGAGGACAGGCTGGAAGACCTAGGACTCTACTCTCATGGCTACCGTAGATTACGTGGTGACTTGATAACGACTTGTAAAATACTAAGGAGTCAAAGTCGTCTGAATATTGAAATCCCGCTGAACAGCCAGTGTGGTAACCTAAGGAGAATCGCCCACCAAAAGATGAGAATCCGTGTGCGTCCACACTTCTCTCTGGGAGTTTGCGAACACTGGGACGCATTGCCTACCGAGACTGCTGCTGCTCCGTCTGTTGACAACTTCAGAAAGAGGTTGGACAGTTACGCAGAGACACATAGTTTGCGCTCATCTAGCTGGAATACGGACTAAGATGGCACAACCTATTAAGTCAGCACAACTCTGTAAGGCTAACCCATTACCTAGTCCTTTGTAACGCTACTATCATTGCGAACCTGGCTCAACCTTACACTTCCCTGTAGACATCTCTAGTTACCATATCATACTAACAGTATTAATGTCACTACTCCCATAAGCTGTCCTATAATGCTGTTTGCTCCTTCTCTTCCACGGACTTCATGTCCTCACACTTTCTTTTAAGGAAGCCTCTCCCTATCACCCCTCTCCAAAGAATCTGCAGAGGTTTCTCCTTCCGTTCCGTTTCCTTTCACCTTATCATTTTTCTTTCTTCTTTTTCTGCGCGCTCCTTCCCTCTTGGTTTCTCTGGACATATTTTCTGTCTTCTTTAAAAATCCAGTCTGACCAACCGTCTGCTGTCGCGATACTTGAGGGACCCAACTACACCGCAGTCCTTGAAGAAACCACATACTCTGTACAAATTTAACCAACACCCAACTGCCCGTCAGGCAAAACAGAGCTACTGCAGTCGAGTGGGTAGACCTGCTGGATCAGAGCCCACCAAAGACCTAAGGCCGTTCCGCAATATTTAGAAGAGAGCATGAAGAAATCAACTGGTATACTCTAGATCCTTTTTTAGACCGTAGATATCACTAAGCCAAAGAAATGTCTGTCATTAACTGACATGTTTTGATGCATTTCTTGAGATTAAGTTGAGATCAGTGAACTTTTCCCTCAAAGTACTTAAGCCCGTTTTGTTTTATTGCATCAAACAAAACTAATTTCTTAGGTTTTGGCTTACAAGTATCAATGTGGTTATCGCTGCTGAGGAGTATGGAAATGTATTCACGATTGGAGAATGATTATACATTTTAGCACCTATCTTTACTTTGTACTTTGTTCTGTGAAAGGTAAGGTACCATTCTGAAGTGAATTTTATGTTTGCAGCTTACACAGATGAGTTAGTCGATATAACGTTTGGTCGGCGGGACTCGGCTTTTCTTATCAGCGACAACAGAAGTACTAAACATGAGTTACCGGTGTATTTTGCGTCTGCAAGCAATTCAGATCGCTATGAGATAAAAGCATCAATAGGACTGCTCCATAGTTCGTTAACTATTTTGGGCGAAAAGCTTCTTGAGAATTCCAAATTACATGTTACTGTTCACACATTCGACTCAGAAGTAAGCGAAGAAACCAAAACGCTTCACTTTCTCTGCCATGCAAGCTATAGTGAGGATATTAATGGTTTGGAATTCGAGCCTAGTAGTATCTGTTGCGTAATTTCAGTCAATGCAACATACTTCAACGAGCTTACTTCCTGTATGCTAGTCATCGATTCCAAACAGAAAATTTGGATATGTCGTGCATCCATCAAGTTACCTCCTGCTCTATGGAAGCAAAAACGGTCACCAGAAGTAATTCTTTCATTTACATCATCAGGATTATACTCATTTTCTGATGCTATCAAACGACAAGATGTATCTTCTGATAGCTTACATCACTGTCACCTAACCGTTAGTAATTTGAAACCTTCATTCACACCCATTCCGTCTGTTAGCATTGCTCATTTGGTACCGGATGCTTTTCGCGACCTGGGAAGAAGCTTATTGTTACAGATTCCAAGGAGGGAATTAAAGACTAATGAGGACTTTTTTGTTACTGTTCGCCTAAAACGCTTTGATGACGTTTCAGATTTTACGCTACGGTACGTGATCTAGACGGTTACTTTGCTTATTTTAATCGTTTTAAAGTTTATTCATGGAGATTTATTCAGTGTGAAAATTAGGAGCAATTTCGAGCTAGTGAACTTTGCTACATATTTCACCACTTAAATTAAATTCTGATGTAGACAAAACCAGAAGAATTTGCTGCAGCCAGTTTACTTCACGCCTACACTATAACTAAATACTTCTCTTCGTGGCACAAAAGTTGTTATTTGTGTAAACAACGTAATCTGCTGAATAAGTCAGGGATTGCGGAATGCAGTTTATGCAGCCAAACAAAGTGTAGACCATCAGTTGATATAGAATTTAGAACTTTAGAACTTCGAAAACCGTAATTATATTCTTCTTGCTGGCTAGTACCGTAGGTTGGACATAAGACTTTCCTGCATGTTTGCTTGGTTCTTGTTTCTACCTTTTGTATCTCATATGGTTCGGAATTAAGCAAATATATCATTGTAATCAAAAACATTTGGTTCAATAAGTGTGAAACAGTCATGTTTGCAGCCAGTAATTTAGTATACGAGAATAGTACTGGTAATATCTGCTTATTCACTTATAAAATGCTTGATTTTCGCACAATCAAACGCTATGTCTGCTGTGTGTGAAATTCAACCTTATTTTATAACTGAGTGAACCCCTCGCTACTTCATAGGTTTTATTACCAGACTGCCCCGTATTCGACGACAAGGATTTCCAGAAGTGAACAGCATAATGCCGGTCTTAAGAAATAAAAGTAGCAGGCCAGTAATGTAGATTTTCAAATTTAGATTGTATTTAAGACTGCTGCTTCTTTTAATTATTAAGTCCATACACTTAGCACTTATAATATCGTTAACTATTTCCCGTCTACATTTTTGAATAACTCTTTGTATTCTTAACTCTGACAGTCACCAATATTCAAGAACTCCCAACTGAAATTTAATTTAAAGATGTACAAGTTTTGGTATTTCCAGCTTAGATATGACTGCTTTCATACACGGAGAATATCTGCGGTTGGAGGCATCAATATATTGTAGAATAACTGTATTCTCGATTTCTCGACATTTTTACCTGTTCAAAACTTCATTTTGTGGTGAACTTTCTGCTTGTTTGAGCTCCTGTTCGTTGATAAATAACTAAAACAGGAATTTGAATGCAAAACAGAAAATTCAAACTTTTCATGGTATTCCGACTTTACCAACATTGTTCGAATTCCATTCAATACTTTCTGCTTCAGTATCTTATACGTGGATGTTTATTGCATTAGGAGCTTTAAAAAATTATCTGCTTTCTTTTCTACAGATTGTTAGCTGGTTGCATTGATGTTATACTTTGGGGGTTATTCAGTGCACAGATATCTGTATATATTTCCGCTTATAAATAACAGTGACTTTCCATAAACAGTTTTCAACTACTTGCATTTAAGTGACTTGTTTTAGAACAAAGTGTCGTAAATATACGATTCTTTTCTCTGGAGAAGGTAAACACTTGTTTCGAGTGCAGTTGATTCTTCGACAGACGAAAAGCCACTGGCTTGTAAAATACAGTATTTCATCCATGCGGTTGTTTAGCAGGGTAAAATATTTGCATTCCTCAGCTATTCTTTTCTTAGGATCGTAACAATATGATCGTTTTCTGCGTAAAAGACTTAAAAAATAATCTTAATCCTTGATGAGAATTCGATTAAACTTTAAAGATACAAAGGTTGTTCGCTTGAGGTGTAAGCGTCAAGTGTGTGATTCGTCCACTAGGAACACGGTATTTTTCGCCCGTTTGTAAACTGTATTTAAATTTTAAAACTAACAAACTAGTAGTTCTATTTCGTAAAACGAAAATCATACCCAGAAATCCCCAAACGACTTGAAGATTGAACATTTTGATTTATCTTTCCCTTTTAGTCATTTTCGTGAGTCTACAGTAAGCCTATATTTTCAAGAATAATTCTACTCTTTGTCCGAACAAAAAATTTCAGAAGCACTATTTTTTGTCACGAATTCAATTAAGCAAATTTCATATTATTCTCCACACTGTATATGATGTCTACTTTTGCCATATTGGGATTTAGTATTTATAGATTCTGACGTTCATGCATCACTGTAAAGGCTAAACAAGACTTGATATACCTATTCGACTTAGTTACTCAACTCAAAGTTGTTTTTCATATTCCTTGTGAAGAAGGTCTCATCATACATGGATCAACAATATGATCTGAATATGAATTACTGTGAAGTTTGATAAGGAACCCATAAAATAATATGATCAGTTTCAGAGGCTTCGTAGTTCTGCAACACTTAACACACCTGTTGATATGTTTGTCGTCAGAACGGTCACAACCGCCCGAAATCGTGTAATTTTTCAGTGTCGCACTTTCGAAAACTTGACTTTGATGAATACTTTTCCAAAAATACTCGGTAATTTATTTTCTTATCTTTAAGCGCTGTAAGTCCAGCTACTACAATCTAGATCTTGGATGAAGAGAAGAATAATCGGTTTTATTTTCAGTTTTTTAAACTTTTTGGGGATATACTACGGCAGATATCTCCTGGTGTTGGTCACTTGATTTTGTGTGGGAAGGATAACATACTCCGAAATCTAACAACTATTAATATGCTGTGAAGTATGTTTAATCCAAGTAACGACGGGCTGGATAATCTTGTGAAGACTTTTGTTAGAGCATTTTTTTCCGAAGTTCTTCTTTGTCGCCCAGTTGCAGTGCCTGTCTACTTGTGATTCTTACTACAGTGTTAAAAGACTTTTCTTGTATGTATCGTCTGAAAGAAACTGAAGAATGTAATAACGAAGAAATTTTAGAAATCAACAAGACTTTTGATTATTTCTAGAGAAAATCTTACATTTTCACCATTCTTTTTATTGAAACAGAAATCATTAGTTTAGAAACTGTCTACTTTCTCACTTGTAGGGATCTATATCTTTCAAAACATGCACTTTCTGTACTCTTATTTGACCACTTTCTTTTCAGCAAATGTGATACTGCCGTCACCTCGTTGACAGAGCAAATATCTTAAGTAACTAAAGTAAACACTTTTTGCAGGTAAATAATATCTACAGTATTTTATCCTCATTGGTGTGACTGCGCAACAGTAGATCTAAAATAATTGATGCTACTTTGCTTGCTCACACTTTATTTTTACTTTTCAGCACCTGCATCAGATGTTTGTCGGTTTCATAGAAATGATTACTTGTAGCGGATGACTTTTAAGTAACGCGGTTCACATATCTTTTTATCTACTATGTTTCATGAACTGGTAAGATAGAAAAGCTTCAGTGACTACCCAGATGTATGGACAAGCAACTTTTAAAGTCTTCACTGTCGCAATAATTCTTTCAGGAATTACTGGGTTGCTCGGACACAGAACTTAAGGTAACAGGAATAACTGAAAACATAAACATTATTGTTACCTTTATTCATTCACTGGTTATGTTTCAGAGTCCACTGACTTTATTTATCTCTAACGACTAAAGACTTTGATCACATCTTGAAAGCTCTTATGTCGTTGTTTCTGTTTACTTTCCCTTTGTGTGCAGTCACGACATGTAGCCACTTGAAGTGATGTCCTTATTTCCAAGGTTTTTTGGTTTATCTATCTTTCTGGAGTAGTCTATTTCCTATTGGTTGGTTTGTATTCTAGAGTTTCATAATCGTGGATACTTTTAGTCGGATAAGCATTTTATAAGAAAAGTAAATAACCTTCACAAGATTGTATGAAATACTACTTTTGAGTAATCTGTAGTTCATTGGTTCGTAAAAGCATATTTTCATGTGAGAAATTGAAGCAGCTCATATCATAGCTCGGTTATCTCGTCTGGCTTTCAGATTTGATCGAACTGTATTCAGGAGAAGATAATGGTACAGAACCTATTTTGTTGGCTTAACTATTCTAGTGGGTTTAAATATTCTGACTAGGACTACATGCAGCCAAAAGTATTTCAGGTTGAAACAAATTTGCTTAGATGTGGATTGGAGCGAACCACCAGACATATGGTGATAAAATTTATTAGAGTCCTTTAAGTTAGCAGCTCCTATAGATCAGTCTACAAATCCTGATAGAATATTATTATAACGCTTTCTGCCCATTAGTATTATTTTTCCCTTGGGTTCCTAGTGGAACATACGGCTTCAGTAGCATGCTTACATTCCACTCTCTTCTCTGAAGTCTTTCGAACTTGGCTTCACGACAGCCCACAAGCTATCATTTCTTCCTCATATGATCTCCTCCATGCCACCCTTGCCTCGGACGCCCAACTCGTCGTTTCTCATCTGGGTTCCGCTCGACGGCCTGACGCGTGATGTCCTCGAACGGCCTTCTCAGTGCATACGCAATCCATCGCCATTTTCTTCCTCTGAATATTTGTTGGGTGATAGGTTCTTGATTGGTTTGTTGCCAGCCAGCCAGCCAGAGTTTTTGTTGCTTATTCGTATTATTCTGGCCATCCATCTGATCTTCAGTATCGAGTCAGTGTAGGCAGTTGTTGATGAGTGTCTGTAGTTTGTTGGAAGTGCTTTTCGTGGCACGCCAACTTTCTGAACCATAAAGCAGCACTGAATTGACACTGGTGTTAAAAATCTGGATGTTGTTTTTTGTGCTGCGTGCAGTAGATCTCCATACTGATTTCAGTTTAATGAAAGCCTATCTTGTTGTCTTTATGATCCTGGTTTTGGCATCCTCGTCTGTGACTGTGCCGCCTGTAATTGAAAAGATGCTGTCCTGTCTAGGTGGTAGGTGAAAGAGGCTACTTGCTTTAGGTTTCTCCCGTTGATGGTGATTGTTGCTTGTTGTTGTTGTTGTTTGGGTATCTTCATCACCTCCATCTTTTCTACACTCGTTTGAATTCCCGTTTTCGCTGCCCTGCCTCTTCTGTCAACTTGTTAGTATTCACCTGTAAAACTTCTTGTTTGCTTGACGTTAGACATGAATCATCATCGGTAAAATCCAAATCTCCTTCCGGGGTATTTTCTTTCGTACAGCGAGCGTATGCCCAT